TGGGCAGTGGCTATGATCATTTGAAGAGCCAGAGCAGCCCGATGACTCATGAGAGAGGATTGGAACTGCAGAATGGGAGAGGACTGGGCTGGGAAGGTGGCTCAGTGGTAGAGCGCTTGCCTTGCATGCATGAGGCCCTGGGTTCGATTCCTCAGCACCACATAAGCAGAAAAAGCCGGAAGTGGCGCTGTGGCTCAAGTGGTAGAACGCTAGCCTTGAGCTGAAGAGCTGAGGGACAGCTCCCAGGTCTAGAGTTCAGGCCCCACAACTGACAAAAAGTAAAAAAAGAGTTGGCCTGGGAAACCCAAGAAGCAAACCAGCAAGCTAGCGTCAGGGGACCACACTCCCACGTGGAAAGGGACAGACACTCTGTGTTCTGAAAATGGCTTTGGCTGCAAGCTCTCTTCCTAGGAAATGGGTTGTGTAGGGTGGAAAGTTGGCCTCACAATGCAGCTAAGGAGGCTTTGCCTGAGCAAGAGATGTGTCAGCTTGGGGCTCACCTGGTGGTGTGGAGAGCACATTGGGGACCCTGTGCTCAGTTCCATGCTAGACACACAAAAGCAAGTCTAGAAGGGAAGAGAAGCAAGAACAGGAGCAACTTGTACTATAGTGTGGCCAGAGATCAGGCCTCTTGAGAGGTCTTCACAAATAGGACTGCAAACCACTGGGGGAAAGGTTTCTAAAACCAGTCTCAGGGAGTAGGGAACTGCATCTCTCAGGAAGTAACACAGGACCATGAAGCTCACAAGCTTGGAGCAGTGAGTCAAAGTGTCCAGAAACAAGGCCAAAGCAGGTCAGTAGGGGATCTATTTGTGCAGCACTGAAGCAGACAGGAAGAGTTGAGGATGAAGTCACAGGAGCTGACAGATCCTTCGTCCCTTTGTGTCCTTGCAGACCTGAGCAGCATTTCCTGGCAGCTGTAGGCTACTGCATCCTGTCAGGAGGAGGTGAGGAACAGAGCCCAGAGGAAGGCAGGAAAGAGGATTCCGGCATCAGGTGTGGGGGTGGGGGTTGGGGGGTGGAGGGTGAAGGATCAAGCAAGCAAAAGCCCTGATTCTTTCCTAGGATGAGGGCAGATTCCTTGCAAGCCAGCACCTACCACCCACCAGCAGCCTCTGATTGGGTGCCTGAACCACCGGCCTTGGCCGGTGATAGAGGCAATCTGCTGGCTGGTGGCTGGGACAGTTGGGAAGCAGACAGTAGAGGTGCAGAGCTCAGAGGTGACAGAGGAGAGTGACGGGGGTAGCATCCATCAGTGAGTGGCCCTGCTCCCTCTACCCAGGCTTGACTAAGTTGCAGGGAAAAGGAAAGCATAAAAGATAGTGTGTCCCCCATTCGATTATTTTCTGGGTTGCCATCTCATTAGGAGTATAGAGGTGCTTGTAGGAAGCATTGGCAGGGCTGAACGGGAGAAAGAGAACTCCAGTAGGGGACAGGAAAGTAAGCATGAGGACTTTACAGCAGGCCATGGGCAGGATTGACTTTACCATGAGGTGTGTGCATATGAAGGTTGGGTGGTCTTGGCTCTCAGGTGGCAAATGGAAGGATTTGTCAGGACTAACTGGAGTAGAGAGGCAGGAAGCAGGTCCTGTTAAATTTGGAGGGGACCTAGAATGAGGGCTTCCTCACACTGGTTGTTGAAGTATTAGCAGAGGAAGGGGAACTCAAGGGGCAACCTGGGTCATGGTCCTAGGGGTGACAGCAGGGTGAGGCTGTGGCCTGGGGCTTTTCTGGACCACCAGCCCTCCCATAGGCAGTGCCAGTCTGAGTTCTGGACCCAATCCCAAAAGCAGATTTCACAAAGGAGGACAAGTCACTGGCTCTGCTGGCTGAGGAGAAGGAGAAAGAGAAGGAAAGATGTGGCCAGTCTGGGACTCCCAACACCAAAGACAAGAAGCAGAAAGCCGACTGAAGCTGGATTCTTCTCAAAACCACCAGGACTTGGCTCATTAACTGCACTCCTGGCCAGGAATTGAATTCCCCGAGGTTGCTCCTGGGAGAGCTGGGGTGGGAGACAGTGGGAGTGTCCTCAGCCCAGGTTACTGCCTTTCCCCACACAAGCTCCATAGGTCTCATCCCTCCACAGAAATGTTTGAATGTGTCATTTGGCAAACAGTAGCCCACAGAGCAGTATTTCTACAGTGCTTAAAAACCCACATCTGATTCTTGTCACCTTCCTGTTAGATAAAATAGAGTGAGTGTGTGTGTATACATACATGTGTATATATATATATATATATATATATATATATATATATATATATACACATATATCTATGTATATAGATATATGTATATACACACATATTTCACAGAAAAGGAGACCAAGACTTAGTAAAAGCATTTATTTGTCTGGTTGGTTGGTTTACTGTGTGCCTGGGGCCACCCAGAGGTGAGTGTTGAAGTGTGTGAGCTGTCTTGTGTTCTGGGCAGTATACTTGGCCATTGGATACATTATGTCCTTGATCTCACAGCCACCCTGCAGTATACCTTCATAGTTGAGAAAAACAAGACTCAGAGAGGTCAAGCAACATGGCTAAGTTTACACAATAGCGAAGTCTACCATTTGACTCCAAATCCAGTGCTTATACCCCATGAGTGGGAAAGTGAGGCTGGGCTCCAACTTCTATCCAGACCCGATGTGACTTGGGAAAGACAGGAGTCCCTCACCTGAGGCTCTTGGGAACAAGTTAAAGGCAGGGCACAGCTAAACCAGGCTTCCATCCTCAGGACAAGTTTGTGTTCAAAGTATACCTAAGGGGCTGACTGAGTATAGAAGGGAAAGAGAGGTCCTAGATCTAAAAGGCTGGAAAGAAGAAGAAGAGAAACTAGGCAGTCACCACCAACTATGCGCAGCTGACATTCTGAAAGGTCCAACTAGGGCTAGGAGCATGTACGGACCATCCATCTATGGGGCCACAGAGACAGGTGGAACCCCGAGCAGATGCCTGGGCCAATTAGGAGCCCCAGTACCTGCCAGGGAAGTGGGCCAGGTGTAGGGTGGGCCTGCATGCCAGAGAAGGTATTAAATGAGCTTCCAATTCATTTGCATGTCCTAATTAACCATAAAATAAGCCCCAGAAGCAGAATTAAGCTGTCAGTTTCTCTCTGCTCACTTCCACTTTCTCCCCTCCCCCACCCTCCTAATGGTTTCCTGCACCCTGCATGCTTAGGTAGTTAGCAATCTCATTCATCTTCACTCTGGATCAGCCAAACAAAGAGCCTCCATCCTTGCCCAGAGCCCAGAAGGGGGCAGAAAAGTAAAGATTATGAGAGGGGAAATGAATCATATTCTTTCATCTGCACAGTGTAATTAGTAAGATATTACATAAACCCCTTCAAGATCTGAGCAAAGTGAAGCTGTGGCTCAAGTGGTAGAATGCCAACCTTGAGTAAAAAAGATGTGGGCAAAAATTCCTTCATTGAACACTCAGCATTTCACTTACTATGCATGCAGATGTGTGTTAAGTGAGCAGGACAGGTTTTGCTCTTCATGTGCCTGTGGTGCAAATATAATTTGCCAGATAACGTGAAAAGCACAAAATTAGAAATCAGTGGCAATTGTTTCAGTCCCAGTCCAGTACTGCGTGACTTTGGACAGGCTGCTTCACTTCTCTGACCTGATCTATGTAAAGTAAGAGTAACCGCAATCACTTCTACGGTGTAGTACAAAGGAAATAAGAACCCAAACTTGAAGGTGCCTGGTACCTGCAGATTAGGTTGGCAGCAGATCTCACTTCCTAATTGTTTTATTCTGATCTAAGTGAGGATGAGTCTTCCTTCTCAGGACTCTTGTGGGTAGGTGATGACCAAGAATCTACTTAGTTCTTTTCCCCTGCAGTCCCCCCGGTTAACAGCTGGGTCCTTGTCCATCCTGCTGCTTTTACTATCCCAATACTTGGCCCTGGGAGGAGCTCACTAAGTTTTGTTCAGTTGATCTACCAGTCCACAAAACAGACGAGTTGTGAGATGAATGATCAGGAGGTGACTTGGTCTCCTACAGAATCATTCCAAAAACACTGCTGGCTATCTCTTTGAATGACTTGCCCACCCAGTGGTCTCTCCTCTGGGGAAACAGTGTGCACACTACATGTCTAATCTGTGCATTTTGCCTGACCCCCCGCCCCCAACCCATATAAGAGCTTCCACTGATGTATCCGGAAAATAATTTCTTCTAGGCTCATTCTTAGTTTAAAAGAATGGCCTTAATCATGCTTTGCCAAGCTTAGAATGAAACCCCACACTAGCTACACTTGACTGCGTGGGAACTTGAGGGTGCCCCTAACCCAGGCTGCTGCATCCCTGCCCCCCACTGAAGCTGGAAGCCCCCTCCCCTCTTTCCCTGTCCCCTGGGGATCCGGGCTTGCAGGCAGAAGAGCCTGTCTGGTTATTTTTCTTCTCCAATTTGCTCCTAATGCCCCGGAGGCGGGAAGGCATCTTGCTTCTAATTGCAGCTGTCACACCCCATCAAGGCTGAGCGGCTGTCCTCCCGAGAGGGAAGAGGGAGCCGGGAGGGTGCCTTCCTGGGCGGGCTTGTTCTGAACAGGGACCCACATTGTCCTTTCCTGGCCAGCAGGCGTTCCCTGTTCCCTCCCGAGGCCAGGAGGGGGCCCAAGCGTCGGGGAACCGCGTGCCTCTCGCCGTGGCCACGTGCGCAGCCCCGGGCACCGTCCCTCCCTCCCCTAACCCCCCCACCCCCCCACCCGCCGGTGCACCGGCGGAGAGCAAAGCAGCAGCAGCAGAATGGGGCTAGGATCTTTTCTGTGGGGCTTGAAGTCAGGGCTTGGGCGCTGTCCCTAAGGTGGGGTTGGTTTGGTTTTTGTTGCTCAGGGCTGGGGCTCTACCACTTGAGCCACAGCTCCAACTTCTGGCTTTTCTGGTGGTTAATGAAGGGAAGAGTCTCATGGACTTTTCCTGCCCTGGCTGACTTCGAACCTCCATCCTCAGTTCTCAGTCTCCCAAAAAACTAGGATTACAGGTGTGAGCCATCAGAGCCCAGTTCAGGATTGTTTTTCTTTCTTTCTTTCTTTTTAATGAAGGAGTATTTCTTCTGCACTAGCCCTTGCCTCCCTGCGAAGTTTAGATCTAATGCCCTTGGAGAGTTAAGTGCTGGAGACAGGGTGTGTTTGGATACGGGGCCCTCAGAGCTGCTGGGGGGTGAGGTGTAATGCTGACTAGCCAGCAGTTGGTCAGGCCTGTCCCCTTCCTACCAAAGTCTGTTCTTGGACAGTCAGCAAGTCCGGGCTGGGGACTAGATCGTGCCCACTGTGCCCCTTTACAAGACCAAGTGACTGTGAAGAGGCCTTTAGACATGCACAATACTGCTCATCACCTATACCTTCAGGAAAACCCAGAAGCATCCGGGCTTCCTTCACTGTCCTCCTGGATTAGCCGATTTTCCAGGATCCAGGAAAGGTCTGGAATCTTCATGACCACAGGAAGGACTATGGAAGGGATTTCCTCCTATTGCTCCACCCACCCAAGAGGGCGCGGCTTCAGTACTGGGGACCTGCAGTCTTGATCTTGCCAGGAATAAGATTGGGGCACTAGAGACTGGCCATTGAAGTTGGGGGGGGGTGGCAGGAGAGAGGCTCTCTGAGATCCTAGTGCCCTTGTTCATATTCTGTGTTCACTGAGGTCTTTGAGGGCAGCAGAGGAATGTCAGAGGCATTTGCTGGCACACACACACACACACACACACACACACACACACACGTGCACCTTGTCCACGCACAACCTTTCTCCAGGAGCTCTTACCTCCTCCCCTCACCAGTCTTGTATATTTTGGTCAGCCCTGTCTGAACTCTGGCTTCTCTCTCCTTTCTGGGAGAAAGGAACATGGATTTGGGCTCTGAAGGCTACACCACCTACCCTCCCGCCTCCCCAGGGGCCCAGTTTGGGGACTGGCCTTTTGGCTACAGCCAACATCAGGATTTAGACCCAAACAGCTGTGTTAATGTCAAAGCCTGCTGGTGAGGGTTCCATGGCCTTGGAGCTACTTGAAGGGGTGTCCCCTCGTCTGGGCTCCCCGGTGCTTGGGAAGGGGAACCGTCCGGAACCCTTGGAATGGTTCCGCTTCTTGACTTTCTGGGAGCGTCCAGCTCGGGGCTCGGAGACCATGGGTGTCACCCAACCTGGCTTCTCCTTGAGCAGGCGGTCACGATCAGGCCTCACACTACGTAAGAACTTCCTAAAGATGTTGGCTGTTAGGGCAAACTTGCGGCCCAGCTCCCGGGACTGGCCTCTCGCTGCTTTGGCCTCACCTGCCCCCCCAGTCTCACCCTTCTCCCCACTTTTCTCCACTTCTGGCAAGTCTAGCCAGTTGCCCACCAGGTCTGCAAAGACATTGTCCCCTAATACCAGAGGCTGCCGATTCCTGCCCCGAGACATCAATGTGGAGGTCCAGTCATCAGGTTCTACTTTCTCTGACCCCTGCTGGGCACAGCTTTGGTGCTCAGGCAGCTGTGTCCTGGGCAGGGGGCCATGATCATTGGCACAGTCACTGCTATGGCATGGAAACTTGGTGCTGCTGCCAAAAGAAGGATTGCTGGAGGAGGAACAGGCTGTAGGCCTGGCAGGGTGGCTGCCACCCTCCCAGCAAGGGTGCCCAGGCTGTATCTGTGGACTTTCAGGGCAGCTGGGGGCAGGACTCCCTCCAGAGATCTCCAGCTGTTCCAATGCCGTCTGCACCTGCAGGAGCTTCAGTTCTTGAAGTGCACCCATCATGCAGTTCATCTGGTCCTGCAAGCCATCACCCACCTCCTTCATGGACATCTGCAGGGGCAGAGGAGGTACAGGGCCAGTGAGCACAAGGGTGGCAGGAAGAACGGCCCCTCACAGCCTAGGACCTAAATCCCACAACCCTCCAAACACACACTCCCTAGTCATCCCTTACCTACCACTAACCCATTTCTTTACAGCTCAGTACTGCTTAGATCCAGGCTCAGTAAAGGAAATAATGACAGCAAAACGAACCAAAGTATGTCCTTAGTTATGCAGATACTCCTCCATTTATGATGGGATGGTGGCCAGGCTACACATATTTATCTATATTTATTTTTGGTGCTGGGACTGGGACTTGAGCTCAGGGCCTTGTGCTCTCTCACTTGTCTTTTTTGCTCAAAGTGACCACTCTACCACTTGGGACACAGCTCAGCTTCCTAAACCCATGCCACACAACTTTATCTAATTTAAATGTGCTCTGAACACACTATATAGTTAGGCAAAATCATCCAACACTAAGCCTAGTTTGTAAGAAAGTGTGGGATGTATCTCATATGCTGAGTATTGTACTGAATATGGAAAACAGAATAGTTTTATGGCATATTTTTTTTTGGTGGGGAGGATGCTAGTACTGCGGCTTGAACTCAGAGCCTCAGGCAATCTTGCCTGACATTTTTGTTCAAGGCTGGTGCGCCACCACTTGAGCTATATCTCCACTTCCAACTTTTTGATAGCTAATTGGAAATAAGAGTCTCACAGATTTATCTGCCCAGGCTGGATTCAATCTTTGGTCTTCAGATCTCAGCCTCCTGAATAGCTAGGATTACAGGTGAAAACCACCAGCACTCAGCTTTATGGATATGTTTTACAGCATGGTGAAGTCCAAACATCATTAAGTAGAGGGGCTCTTATGTGTGTGTGTACAAATAATTTATCTATACACACATTAAGCTATATTTATCTCTCTCTATGAGGTGATGACTATTATTGTCACCACTTGACAGAGTAGGAATCCAAGGCATATAAGTTGCCCAAGATTAGAGAATAAAAGGCAGAACTGAGATCAGTTTGAGAATACACAAAGTTGTGGTGACCATCTTTGTCATTTTCTGTGTCTGTGTCCTCTCTCTCTGATGGATGAGGGGGAAGTTGGCGGCAATAACAAATTGTGCATTTAATACGTCACAGGAATCATGCTAGGAATTCTATGTGCAGCATGTCATTAATTTTTATAAAAACCCTAAGAGGTTATTAGTATTTTCACTTTAACAAATAATAAGTTGTAGTTGAGGTGAAGTAAACCTATCTAAGGCCACACAGTTCATAGAGCTGGGGCTCAAACCAGAACTGTGTCCTTCCAAATACTGTAGTCCTGACCAGCAAACGCTGCCTGCAGCTGGTTAGGCAGTGGGGCTGGGTTTGAAGTCTATGCTTCCCTCTACAGGGCACTGGAGAAGAGTTGAAGGGGACATTACAGAGAAAGAGTGGGCCTGAAGCCTTAATTCCTCTTCATTATATCTGACCGGGAAGAGAAGGAAGGAGGCCTGGCAACTCCTGTTTGCTGTAAGCCTTTACCCGCTCTTTCTAGCCTGTCTGTTCTTCCCAAACACCTGTCTCCTCTCAGCTGCCCTCGGAGTTGGCTCCGGTGTCCTTTCTTCCTGCCTTCTCAGCCCAACTGTCTCTGTTGCCCTGGCCGTATCAGAATGGGGGTGTTGGAGCCAATCCTCTCAACTCCTTTGTGGGGGGTGTCTGAGGCCCAGGTCTCAGGTGCCATCTGGAGGGGCCTGAGAGCTTGCCTTGGGTGAGGGCCTTATTTGAAGACTGGGGAGGAGAGTTTCTGTCTGATAACATTCACAGAGTTCCCCAGACCCTGGGTCCAAGCTGCCTTGGTCCTGCCAGCTCCCTTCCCAGCTCCTGATCAAGTTACTCATGGCAAGCCTCCTGTGCGGAGACCATCTGTTTCTTAAGCCCCTCGGAGACCAGGAGGATCATCTTACCTCCCAAGCTTGTCTTAATGCCCAGAGCTAAGCCCAGCCAGTGGGGGTGGGGAACTGGAGTGGGAGGGGCAGAGAGGCATGGCCAGGGAGAAGTAGGCTAGCAGCTGACCCTCTCAGGCCTCTGGATCAAATCTCTTGTCAACCCTGGCTCTGGCAAGAAGCGGGGGAATCTGAGCCAGAATCTCAATGAGCCAGAAGCACCAAAGGACAGGAGGGGACAGGTTGCCTCTGAGGGCAAGGAGGCCTTTACTGGGGTGTAGCCACACAGAGCCCATCTAGGGTAGCTGTACCTGTGGTTCTTGCTCCGACCGCTTTGTTTCTGTCTTTCTGACCCCTTCCTTTCAGGGCCGCTCAGCAGCAGCTGTGCACCCCGGTTCCTTCCTGGAACACTGCTTCTTCCTCTGATTTTCCCTGTTCCTCTCCATTCTCCAGCCCTCTTTCCTGCACCTGTGCCTGGAACCTCAGAGGAGTCATTTTCACTTCTCCAGTCCATCACCTCTGCTCTGCCTGACTTAATTGTGGACTGTGTGGGAGTCCTGTCCTACGGGCGTTTGTATCTCTCCTTCCTGCCCCAGCTACAGAAGCTCAGAGAAGGCCTTCTGGCCATCAGCATGAGAGTGCTTTGGCTAATCTCCCCAATACACATCTCCACCCTATCTCTTCTTCCCTCAACACGGCTCTTCATTGTTTAAAGACGCTAATCCAAACTACTTGGTCCTGCAGGCAAGATCCATGAGTGGGTCTTCAATCTCAAGACAATCCCTGGCCCTCTCACTTGCCCTCCATGCTCCTCATAGAGCCTTGTCTCTGTTCCTTAAGATGTGCATCCTGAAGTCCCGATAAGTATACATGTGGCTCATGTCATCCACAAACCCTTATGAAATGTTAACTGATCATCTACTAGAGAGCCAAGACTGAGATCATCTGCACATCATTCCATTACCCCAGACCCTTGCTGGCACCTTGTACTTACTATATCACCCCTCCAGGAATATCATTGATCCTTTGGATGACCATCTGCACTGCCGCGACCTTCGGTCACTTGCTACACCAAGATGGTCAGAGCCATTTCCCAAGGCTTCAACACACTGAGAGGCAAGGAATCTGAACTGGCAGACTTCCCTCCAGAAAGTGAAACATGGTCCAGGTCAGAGGCAGGGGGAGGAATAAAATGACCCCATTCAGTCTCTTCCAGTGTGGAAAAATCCATAAGATACAAGGCTGACATTTTGTACAGTTTTCCAGTGAGAATGAATGTGTGGGTATGCATGAGTTCAGAGCTACCTCCAAACAGAGGCTCCATTTAAGTAAATAAGGGCTGAAATTGTACACATATTAATAATTATATTCAGTACTGGTTAAGAATTTGGGTTCTGGAGACAAAACAAACAAAGTTTAAATTCCAGCTCTGAGACAGGAGCTTCCTATGTAGCCCAAGCTGTCCTCAAACTTAAGGTCTTCCTGCTTTGGCCTCCTGAATGCTGGGATTACAGGTGTAAGCCACTGCATTTGACTCAATTTCTCCATTCTTTAAAATAGGAGTCATAGTTCCAGCCTCATGCAGCTATTGTGCAGATTGAATGAGCTAATGTCTATTTATGTGGCACCAAGAAAGAAGCACCATGAGCTGATGAGCCAAAAGTAGCCAGAAACATTGTCTGTTGAGATATTCTAGGTACTTTGAGGACATTTCTTCCTCAGTGAAACTTAATACACGCGAATGATAGGATGCCACACATCAAGGGGACCCCGCACTTAAGGGAAGGAGAGGAGTGGAAGGAGAAGCTTCTTCACCCTTTTGTCCACTTTCCAATGGTCTCACAGTGAGCCCAGACTGGACAAGGTGCTGGCACTGAAGGGAACGTTGTGAGAGGATAAAAATAGAAGAAGGATCTGAGTTGGGAAATCGGGATGGCTAGGGGCAGTGGGAATTGGAGCATCCATTTAGTCTTGACTGCAAGCAGAGCCAGCAGGACAGCTTTTCCCACCAACCCCAAGGGGATGATGTCACTCACAGAGAAAGAGCCAGAGGCCAGCTGCTCCTTCACCCAGAGCGTGGGACCCTCTTGTCTTAGGACCAAAAAGGAAGCAGAGAAATCAGTATAGTTTGGAAGCTAAGAAGTACAGGCAACTGAAACAGAGACCAACATGAGATTCAACTGTCACTGAATCTCCTGAAGACTGAACCCTAGTTTCCAGGCTATAGGCTGCTGAGTTCTTCTCGGGCCCCTAGTTTCTCAAAACCTTTCATTCTCCCTCAGATAGGGACCAAGTTATACCTAATATGTTCCCAGGAGTAGCTGGAGAAGTCATAAAAGGGTCTGACTGGTCTACATTCAATTAAGTGGAAACAGAAATGGATCTAATAATCATCTCCCCTCCCCTAATTTAGAAACTCTGTGTGTGTGTGTGTGTGTGTGTGTGTGTGTGTGTGCGTGCACAGAGGCCTATCCAGCATCAAATGATAAGTGCATCCCAGTGAAGGTTGTAGGAATCCTTTTAGAGAAAGGCCCTGAAAGGTCTTCTCACCCTCCTCCGTCTTCTTTTGTTGTTGTTGTTGTTGGTGGTCATGGGGCTTAAACTCTGGGCTGGGCGCTGTCCCTCAGCTCTTCAGCTCAAGGCAAGTGCTCTACCACTGGAGCCACAGTGCCACTTCCGGTTTTCTGAGTGGTTTGTTGAAGATGGAGTCTTGTGGACTTTCCTGCCTGTGCTGGCTTTGAACCTCAATCCCCAGATCTCAGCCTCCTGGGTAGCTGGGATTACAGGCGTGAGCCACTGGCACCTGGCTTCACCTTCCTTCTTGCTGCCTCACTTCCCCTTCATATCCCACTCCAGTACCTCCTGAGACTTACAGTTTCATCCCAAACGTAACTTTAATCTCTCCAATGTGATTTGCACCAACTTATGGCTGCCAGTGCCCTCCTGGTGTGGGCAGAAGCCTTCTGCAGTCTCAGCAGATGAACTCAGCTATTTGCCATTGGACTGATCCACCAGTGTTTGGTGAAATGCTAGCCCCTCCCCCTGTAGGTAGCCAATGCCAGGTCTTCTGCATTG